CGCAGAAAGCTCCATCACAAGTGGCATTGTCTTTCTTGCTGGCAGCTGCCACCGGCGATTCTCTGATTCTTCTCTTTATTCGTTCTTTTCAGCCTCCTCATCTTCATTTGTTTTTCCCCTCCTCCAACCTATTTCCTTCTGTCTGACCAGTAGGTGGCTTGGAAGGAAGAGAGCAGCAGTAGTTCCTGAGGGAAACCTCAGAGGGTGCTCACTGCCAGGGCTTGCCAAGGAACCCAAGATGAGGGTGCTGGGCTGGGAGGATCAAACCTCCCACATCGTCTTCCTTCTGTGTCCCAGCCTGAAATGGCTTTGCTTAAGGTGTGTCCGAGTTTACTCTGGGCTTGTCTATTTTACCCAGGGAGTTTCTCCTTTCATCACAAGGCAGGGAACTCGGCTGTGTTTGCAGAATGAATGGTCCCACAGGGAATTTTTGAGTGATTCAGTAGTTGTGGTAAAAACCCTTTATTATGGCTTCTCTCAGGCCCAACCAGAAGTTCCTAGAGATTGAAGGTAATCTAGTTTGTGATTTCCCTTGTTTGATATGTACTGCACTATTGTGGGGGTGTAGAGAGGAGGATTATATGGCAAATCATATTATCAAACTCCAAATCAATGTTTTACCTGATGTTTTTGGATTTATTTATTTATTTATTTATTTTTGCTTTTTGGGTCATACCTGGCAATGTACAGGGGTTATTCCTGGCTCATGAGCTCAGAAATTACTCCTGGCAGTGCTCAGGGGACCATATGGGATGCTGGGAATCGAACCCCGGTCAGTTGTGTGCAAGGCAAATGCCCTACCTGCTGTGATATTGCTCCAGCCCCTGTTTTTGGATTTATATTTGTCAAATTTTAATAAAACAACAATTTAATAAAACAAAAAATCCCATTTAAGAAATATGAAAACAATTCACTCAAATTCAAAGGAATACAATTCTGCACAACTAAAACTGTTTGAAAATCCTTATAATCATTAACTCACAGAATCCTTTAAATACTCATTGGTGTTTTCTACTAAAAGTATAATAGTGCCAGATTCCAAACTTGAAATTCCCAAGTCTTCTTTTGGGTTCTCAATTTCAATATTTTTGGTCTCATTTTAAGGGTCAAAAAAGCAGCTCAGTGAAAGATATGTAATATATATATATACACACATATATATATTTTACCAAAAGTAAGCAATGATAGGATCTGATGCTCATGAAGAAAAGAAATTCTTGAACAATTTTAACTTTGGCTCTGCACTTATTAAAATTCCCAAAGCATTTGGCCCTAGGCTGCCTTTCATTGGAATTTAAAACCTGCACATTACATTATATGGAAAAATTCAACCAACAGGCCACACCTTGGTTTGCATTTAACTCTTTCCAATGCAGATTACTAAAAACTTTAACGTGTTGAAGAGGATAGTTAAGGTTCTCAAATTATCAGTGAAATCTAAAACAGGAAATTAAATTGGGGCAATGTTATGCAGATGTGAAGTCCCAGATAACCTTTATAATCTAGAGTGCGAATGTACTTAGTGCAGCCACCATGGACAAAGGTTTTCCATCCCTGAGTAAGTAATGACCAGGTCCTACTAAACTGTCAAGTAGGAAAGTGTTTACATGACAAAGCGATCAGGAAAATCTCTCCCACACTGGCTCAACTCCACAAGTTGTTGATTCACTTTCTTCTATAGGGTATCTCAAATCAAACTTGCCACCTAATAACTATTTTTGCCATTTAATAGATAAAATTATTTGAAGATCAAAGTGCTATATATTATTAGTCATTAAAATGAGCAATTGTGAACCACAAAAAATAGTTTTGAAGAAATGTGATTTCTAGGATAAACAGATTATCTAATAGGTGAAAGACTAGCTCTAAGTTTTAAGATTCATTCATTTGGAAAAAATGGTGGAAGAAATCTGAGAAACTATGTCATCAGATACAGTGCTGCTTTTTTTCTTCTGCTCAAAAATGTTCTTTCCAGCACTCCTGACCACAAAGCAGGGGAAAAAGGACCCCAACAATAATATTTTTTTTATTACCATGTGTAGTCTATGCTTTGAATTTTGCATTTAAAAAACTTATTTTTTTTCTGATTTTCTTTTTCTGATTTTTGTTAATCCCTCTCCCCTTCTTAACTTTCCATGTACAAAATGCTTCTTTCCTTGAAATCAAATAAGGGAGAATTGGTTAAAAGCTACCGAATTTCTACCGTAAATGACTTCTAGCTTAGATTTGTTTTGTATTTTGTAGTCACACCCAGCAATGCTCAGGGGTTACTCTTCATTCTGCACTCAGAAATTACTCCTGGCAATGTTCTAGTTTAAACAGAGAACAATGATGGTCTGAACAGGGGTGAGTTCATAAGCAGTGGACATCAGTTTCTGAATGGAAGCATCAGTTTCTGAATTGACACTTTCTATCATTGTTGCTGGGATTTTGTCTGGCACAATCGTTTTCCAATATACAGCAGTTAAAATATCATGTTGTCACCTCCTTTTTATTATTGTCTCTTCTTTTGTTCTATAAGGACATGGGGAAGGTAAAGTATATTCGGCATATGATTTTTTTGCTAACAACGTACCTTGTCATAGGAAAAATATTTTGACTGTTTTATGTTTACTTTTCTACCTGTGATGTGTACTCTAAAAATAATTTATCCCAGAAGATGCAAGTCCAAAACTCATCATGGTCTCAGGTGATAGAATTGGGAGTTGAAGGCAATAGGGAATAGTGAGGATTGTGTCTGGGGGGGTACCAGATCCCAACATATTGTATGAGAATGGTGCCCTCTAGTGTTCAGTAGTGCTTGCCCTGCCTGTTCATCTAGCAGAACCAGCAGGCTCATTCAGTACCTCTGCCCTCAGTTGCTATGTGCCAGACATGTTCTAACTGCCGGAAAATAGCAATGGATAAAGAAAGGAATTCCAGGTTCTGATGGAACCTAGAAACACTCTCATTTGATTATTTATTTTCAAGGCAAAAATCTCCATGCCAACCAAATAAAATGCATCTGCATACTGAATTTATCCCAAGGACTGTCCAATTAATGGTTCCTGGTCTAGGCTTTTAAATTACCTCTGTAATCTTGCAGGTTTTAGTCACAGAGACAAAGCAGAGAAATGTACTGACCGCATATTTGTACCCACTGTCTGGTTCATGCTTAATGAGAACTCTGTGTACAGAGCGGGAAAAAATCAGCTAATTAATTCTCAATTAAAATTTGATATCCCCACCCCAGTGTCTGTCATTGCCACTCTTTCTTCCAAGAAAACAGAATTCCTGGAGGTGATCGTTTAGGTAAGTGAGGAAGGAAAACAAGAATGAGTGGGGCTTGTGGCATTCTGCCAAAACCTTGGGAGCCCAAGAACCCATTCCACCTGCAGAAAAATGAGAAAGGTGATCCGCGGAGCAGTGCTCAGCATCTCAACTGTTTCTTGCACGAATTCAAAGTTGGCTCCTAACCGCTTAACTCTTAAAATTTAAAGATTCACTTAATTGTAACATATCAGGGGGTTCTATTAACAGAAGTAGGGGAAATGGATTTTTAAAGGCTCTCTTCTAAGGAATTTGTTTCTCAGCCTTATGGTATCTTAATGCATTTGGCAGGAAAGTTTTCGTTCAATCTACATACAGGCAAAATGGCACTGAAGCCAAATCTTGTCACCTACTCACACAGCTTCTTTCATATCTTTAAGATTTTCTTTTTTCTTTTTCGCATAGGAGAAAATGAGAAAAAGCTAATATGAAATTTCTGGAATGAGATGATGGTATTCAAAGAGGCTAGGAACCTCACAACTCTGAATTTTCTTAAATCCAATCATGATTCAAAATTAAAGAACCTATGTCACAACTCTGATTAGAAAGTTATAGTATAAAGGCAGAAATATCAAATGCAAGCACTCATATCTTCCAAGAGAGAGCCAGGATCATCTCCCTCTCTCTTACCTGTTTTCTAGGATCCAGTGTTCCCCAGACCCCTCATACATGGATTATAAAAATAACAACAACAATCAGAGGAGGGAGTTCTGCCCTATAAATCTTCATGTTATATTAAACTACTTTCCACCAAGTTTGGAAGCATTTCCTGAAAACTGTCAAAGGTATTAATTTTTTTCCCTCTCTCTCTCTTTAAACCACAAAGCAAAATTCCACTGTCCCTCTGTACTCCCCCCTTGCAAATAAAAAAAAAAGTTGTCGAGTTTTGCTTTTCTATTCACTGCAGTTCTGGCCAAAGTAAAGCCCTCTTTCTCAATGACGTCAAGATCTTTACCAAGATTAGGCTTTCATTTCTCTATTGCAGCAATTAGCCAGGGAATGTATAAAAGGCTTCAGGGAGACTCACTGGGCTGCAGAGAGACAGAGGCACTGGCTGCACCACCACCAGATAGCACGAAGGGAAAAAGCCAGAGGGAGTGAGAAAGAAGAGAAAAAGTCAGCGCTCCTGGGGAGAGACACAGAGAGAGAGAGACAGACAGGCTGGGAAGACAGAAAAGTGTGTGTAAAACGGAGTGAAGAAGGGGTGGGGGGAACCTACTCTTAAAGCACATTTCCAAAAACTCTGGCATTTCAAGCAAGAAACAGGCTACGTTTCTGAATGTAGAGACAATGAAAAGCTCAAGAAAAACTTGCAATCTCTGCCACAGCCTCATAGGTGCTTGGAAATGAAAGTAGAACTGCCTGTCTTTTAAACGGACTGAGAGGGGTGACTGGATTAGGGACGGGCACGCCAGTTTTCTTTTCTTTCTTTCTTTTTTTTTTTTTAACATCTTAAATACTGAGGGGGGAAAAAAAAGAGGCAGCAGCTCCAAATTGAATGAATTGATGGGCATACTCCAACTTCTGGGCTGCAGAGACTGGACTTGGGTCTTGCCATTTCTGCTTCTTTGAAAGAGGAGACAACTTGGGCTTCTTTTTAATTTAGTTTTTCTCCTTCTTCCCCCCACCCCCAACCTTCCCCCTTACCTTCCCCCACCTCCCCTGTCCCCCACCCCAACCCCCACCCCCCATTTAAATAAGAGGGTGAAGGGGAACCAGAAGGCACAAGGGGACTGACTCGGGAGGCAGAGAAGATGGGCAACCTCAGCGTACACTTGCTGATCACACTGCAAATTCTGCCAGTTTTTTTCTCCAACTGCCTCTTCCTGGCGCTCTATGACTCGGTCATTCTCCTCAAGCACGTGGTGCTGATGTTGAGCCGCTCCAAGTCCACTCGCGGGGAGTGGAGGCGCATGCTGACCTCAGAGGGAATGCGCTGCATCTGGAAGAGCTTCCTCCTGGATGCCTACAAACAGGTGAGCTGCGCTTCTCTTTAGGCCAGGCGCACTGTCCGCCAGAGCCCATCAGGAGCACGGGGGCGGGGATGGGGGAGACGTGAGGCACCCCATTTGGGAGCCGGGTACTGATGCTTCTGAGAGCGCCTGCCTTGGTTTTGCACACCTGTCACTTAAGTGAAGCGTGGAGGGACAACAGGTATGAGGACGTAACGGCTTTGCATGGCTGAATGAAACTTTCTTAGGAGGGTTGCCAACGTCTTGTAGCGATTTGTGGGGGTTGGGGGGTGGGGGAGGTAGAGTGGGCCGACACAATTACTAGGAAACAGCAGATGGGGACCAAGAGATGTTGTGGCACCGATTCCCGTTCTTGTCCTCAGATGGGATGCAGAGTTTGACTTGATGGGAAGCTAGGTGAGGTGCGTTAGGAAGAACAGTTTGAGGGCATGGTCACTGAAAATCAAGACAAGAAAAATAACTCCTAGAGTCGACCAGGGCTTAATAACCAAACGGTCACAGCAGATGTGAGCCCGGTTGTTTTCCTGGTAGGGATGAGATGATGAAAGCAGGTCTGTGTGCAGAGCCCTCCACAGATTCTGATTCCCACCCTTTTGAAGTGGTTTTCAGACACTGAGTCCGGAGTGACCACATAGCGATTTGCAAAGGAGAGAAGGAAGAACGGCCGGAAATCCGGACTTTGTAGGGGAAAGCCCATTTGCCTTGCTTCTCAAAATTGATAGGTTGTCTGAGATTGATCAGGTAGATCCATGGTTCAGTCCAATCTCCAAGTTATTAGGACGCATGTCTTGAGCCCCGGAGCAGTGTTTCTATTTAGCTTCAGAAGTTGTGTTCCGGGATTGCTCTCAAAACCGGAATGAGGGAGCTTTGTTTGCAAGTGATGAATTGCTGGCATTCCAGCTCTCTTTTTCTGCTTGGAGATGTTGGGAGGGCATCCTTAGCTCATTCTTAATGGGCAAAGTGGACCATTTTGGCACTGGTGCTTGTCAGTTTGTCCCTCGCTCTGTGCCCATCTGCCTCCTGGAGATCCCTGGGCTCAATGAGAATGGATTTATTTGGAAACCATAACTATTAAGGCAGACTGTCTTGATTTTCCCTAACAGTGTTTGGAAGCTCTTGCCCAGGATGCCAGGGAAGGGAATTTGAGAGGAATACGGAAGCCCATAGGCAGAAGTAGACCAGGGAAAACTTCAGGATAAAAGGGAGAAGGTAATGAATGGGTACTCTGTAAATAAACACTAGAAAAATAAACCTATGCACCAGGAAAAAAAAATGTGACTTCTAGTCAAATGTAACTTCTAGAAAATGAACCAAGTGTTCCAGAAGGAAGCAACCTTTGTGCACCAGGGGGATTTTACTATAATACCGGTCATTGTTACTGAGAGTAACGTGCAAGTCTGCCTTTCTTGTCTTTGAAACAGAAGAAAAGTGAGAGCTTTTGTTACTAAGTGAAAAATTCTCTTGTAATAATATGAAATGATGCTTAAGGTTCTTTGTGAACTCATTTATTTTATGTATTTGGGGCAAATGGGAAATGCCGGAAAGATGATCAGTTCATTTCCACAACTGTTTATACTGGATGTGATATCTCTGTTTTGTTTTGGGATTAAGGAATTTGGAACAGGGTGGGGACTGCACTATTATGTCAGGCATGTCACAAGTTAGGAGTTTTCTCATCTATAGCTGCATTTTGCAGGTATTATGAGAGAGCACGGCAATGGCACTGGTCAGATAAAAGCATATCAAACTCTTACTTTGGAGGGAAGACAATTAACTTCTGTTCATATGAGAAAAGTACCTACCTGAGAGAATTTATCTATAGGAATGTATATCTCTTATAAATATCCCTCAAATAAGCTATGGGAACTGTGATATTGGCTATAAATGTTCAGTGAGGTAATTTCTCTTATTCAGTAGCTAATTTAAATAAAAAGTAAAAAAAATCAAACAATTTTCTCTCTAGTAAACTAATTTTACTGATGTATGGAATTTCATTAAAAAATAACTCTTGTATTGATGTTACAATCTTGTTATTCCTAGTTTAAGAAATTGGAGGGGTTTGTTTGTTTTATTTTTTTGCATATGTTTCTAAATTTCTTTTCTGCATTATAACTATTGTCAGCTGGTATGACTAGTTCCCAAGTTTGATTGCTATTATTATGTAGCTTTCAATGATTTATAAAAAAAAAAACTGTACTCTTAGAAGAATCAGCAACCCAAGAATCCCTGTATCTAGGGACAAGACGCGACCGGGTGTGTAATGAATGGAAACACTGTGAGCACAGCCTGCAGTGATATTTGGTCTCCTTCTGTCTCCAAGTATGGCAAGGGTTGGTGGTGGTTAGAGTGGCATTTGAGGGTCATGCAGAATCTCTGGAACAGGTTGAATCACTTCCCTGTCGGCTGCTGCCATCTGTTCCTCTGTCTTTGGGTGTAACCATTTCTGCAGGCGCCCTGCGGGGAGGGGGGAGAGGGAGGTTCTGTTAGAGATGGCATCATAGGATTTCACAATCCTGACTTGCATTATTTTGAAGCTGCCACACTCAGAGGCCGTTTTCCAGGGTGAGGGGTGTGTACACATGTGATACAAGGAGGCATGTCTTTCCCAAGGTTCCTTGTTGAGTGTCAGATACTTGGGAAGGTATTTAGAGAAAGTAGGGTAATAGTATTGTCCCTGTGCTTGGTCCTTTTAAGAGGGCAAGAAAGAAAACAAACAAACAAATAAACAAACAAACAAAAACCCTTCTTCACTAAAATGTTGAGTGAAGTTTAAAAATGACTTCGTATGGAAATTTTCAAATAATCTGGATTTGGTTTGAAGGAGTTTTCTCCACGGGTTATAATCTAAAAGAAAGCCTACAGAAACTTGTGAAAGATTGGAGTAAATAACAGATATTTGTTTTTGAAGTTTTCCTGTCAGTGTCATTGCTTCTAACACTGCATCCTTGTGCTAGTGCTAAAAGACTCAAACATACAACCAATAAGCAAACTCCCCTGTCTGGGAGCCTGGCTCCTACCTAAATGAAGTGTAAAAGTAAACACACAGTATAGATGCTGAAAGCAGTTTCGCTTCTGCACAGTTAATATTGCAGTGCCACAGAAAACATATTCATTTAAACATAGAATTTTGGTCTTAAAAGGGTCTTTGAAATATTCTCCTCCTCCACTCCATTCACCTCAAGTCTTTTGACACCATTTTCTACAATGGGAAATAGTTCTTTTAAGAGAAAAACATTTCCCAAAGAAGGACACAGCCAGAACTTGTCCATCACTTGGATAAAACGCTAGGAAGTGATAGAGCCACAATGTGCCACAAAGAGCTACAATGTCAAGACACAAAGAAAAGCAAACAGCCAAAAGGGACTCAAAGTCAGAGCACAGATAGGTGGCTTATTCCTCAACCTCACAAACTGGACCAGTTTAAATTGAAGTGGTTAAAATTGCTGCTTTCTCACCCATCACATTTGTGAGGACATTGCTGTTGCCTGGTTATTTTAGCAAAAAAAAAAAAATTGAAATTTCCTGAGATCTAAGAAAGCCTCCTCAGGGCTTGGAATAGTAAGAAGGATCTGTACAAATTGTTCATTCACACATCCAGCCTAGCCCCATATTTATCCTGTGCTTTAATTTCTACCAGGAGATTAGGTGATATTTTGTCTTCAGTCCGTGAAAGGCTGTAGAAAGACTCTAGCAGCTCATACACACAAATATGGTTAGTAGTATATGCTCTATTTCCAGCTCCTACTTGATGAATGGTTCTTTCTTCTGTTCCCTCGCCCTGCGTTTCACAGTCCACATGCTGGAACAGCATAATCCCTTTCTCCTATGCACAGAGCTCTCCCAATAAAAAAGGTTCCAGCATCCGAGGAATCAACTTTCTATGGGTGCCATAGCCTTGCAGTCATGTTCATCTTGATGGACATGGCTGTCTCAGATTTGAACTTGGCCCGGAGAGGTCCTCTTCTCTAAAAAAAGAAAACTTTTTCTTTACACCCCTGTCCCCTTTGTTATAACAGATGCTGCTGACGTTGATTACAAAAAACACGAGGAAAGGATAATTGTAAAACTGCAGATGAGGGAGATAAAAGTCACTGATGATGGTATTACATTTTACGTATGTCCTTTCTGATCCTTTCAAAATAAAGGGACCCTTTGGGAACATCGGAACTTCAAGACCAATTAGTGGAAATGATGCTTCTTGTGTTTGGGCATTAAATACTGGGCAGGGTTCTCTTTAGAGCGGCTAATGCTGGCAGGGAAAGAGGTACCGACCTAATTACTCTTCCGCAAGAGTAAAAAATGCCTTTTGAATGCCTCTTTGGCAAATATGTCTCATTAAGGACAAAAACCAAACACAAATCCTCTAAGAAGGAGAAATTAAGATGATAGGTAACTTGTGGCCAGGAGACTTTCTGTGCCACTGTGGGAAATTAAAACAAAGTTTGGGAGTACCAGGGGATAGCTTGTTTTTGTTCAACTTCTTTCCTGTAGCCTAAATGTTATTATGGAAGCAAGTTTATTTTCTTCATCATTTTGGCTCTTTGTCAAGGAATGCTTTTCTCCTGGGGAAAACAAAGAACCTCCCATCACTGACGACAATGGTAATTCTTCTATTACCTTTCAGAAGGGTACATCCCTGAGAAAACTGAGATTCTCTATTTGAAAATCTGATTATAATAAGAATTGAATCTTCATGGCTATCATATGAACAACTAGGAAATGAACAATGAGTTTATTTTAAATGTTTTTTTAAAGGAAAAGCAAAATTTTACTGTAAAACTAGTTGTATTTCTTGATTGTTGCAATAACCTCCATCAGTAGGTTTTTAACAAAGGTGGATATAGATAATAATTATTATATGATGCTGATAAGAGCAGACACCTCATTCGCTCACATTTGGAATTAGGGAGTTTTTCCTTGATTACACTGGTCTTATCTAATGCATTTCCTCTTACCTGGTCATCCTTAAAAACAGGATAATTATTTATGACATTTTCATCTGCAGTAACATCATCTAGTGCAGTAACATCACCTAGATGTGCAACAAAGATGAAAAAGAGTGGGTTACTTTTATTTCATGCACAGATTCACATTCCTAAATTATTCAGCTTCAATGATTTTATCTATAACCCAATTGTGATTATACCTATGGCAGTGCAAGGAAATCACTGAGTATAAATTTCTTCCCTGAATTCAACCTAGAATTACAGTGACTATCATTCATTCAATAATTCATCCATCAAAATAAAAACATAGGGGCCAAAGAGATAGTACCATAGAGGTAAGTTTCTTGCCTTGTAAACGAATGACCGAGGTTCAATCACTGGCATTGCATACAGTCCTCTGAACTTCAGGAATGACCCCTGAGCACAGTCAGGAGTAAACCCTGACCACTGCCAGGTGTGACCCAAAGCAAACAAAAATCAAATGAGAATATATAATATATATTGCACAGCTAACCAAGGCCAAATCTGTCTTTCCACACACCTACTGAAGAATATTATGTACTTACCCATGTCATTATTTCCCTAATGTTTTATGTGGAAGCAAAGGTGTACTTTTCTAAATGATCTAAAGTAACTAGCCTGTATTTTGAAAAAAACAAAATATGTGACTGCACTGTATATTGACACTAAGAAAAGGAGAAGTTGCTTTGACTAAGAAAATTAACTACAGGTAATAATAGAGTCACCTGTAACTGAAGCATTAGATGAGATTTTTCAGTTGAATAGTCAAAAATAATACAAGGATCAACAGTTCTCCTTGGGTTAGAATGTAAAGATCAAAGAACCATTTAACAGGACCACAAAATCATTCATAGGTCTCAAAAAAAATAACTCATAAAAAGCATACGGATGCTTAAAACTTCCCAAGAATCTACAGTTTGGTAGTTTACAGATGATTCTCTGGTGGATAGATTGTTCACTTAACTAGAAGATACTTAACAGTTAATGGAGTCAGATCGACCCAAATGTGTTCAGGTATTTTATTCTTAGTGTTAGGAAGAGTATAACAGTATTGTGAAAAGCAACCCTCCTAAATTCATTATTGCTATTTTGGGGAAAAGAGTTAATGAGAAGATTATGATAAAGCTACCCCCCATAAATCTACAAAGAAGGGTAAGAGAAATGCCTGGATTCAAAAAGTTTATAATACCTTTAAAATGCATATCTTTCTATTTCACTGTTATTTAAAACACAGAGACAAGCGAAGTTCATATAAATAGTATACCCAAACAACTGGCTTTAATTTTTTCCTTCTATTTAATGTCATTTGTAAATTAACTAAGAAAATTAATATTAGTAATATAACTTTTTTAATAGTGACTGAAAACAAATGTGCTTATGTAAATCATACCATCAGCTGCATTTTCTAAGAAAGCAGAGTGTGACTTTAAGATTTTCTTTAGAAAGTTTATAGTATTTATTTAAAACTTGCTCTGCTAACAATTGTCAGAAATGAGAGAACGGATTTCTTTAATTATTTCCTCACAGTTAAAATGAGTTATGCATTAACATTTAGATAGAAACATCTGAATAAAAGCTCTTGAGTGTTTTATATCCATTTGGATTGTCGAGTTCTTAACAATTTACTTCTAAGTGGCTTCAATTAACAGCGATGTTATATATGGCTGTGTTTATATCAGGGAAATAAGTCAATCCAGTTGCAAGTGTTTTATAATATTAAGTATAGTGTATAAAAATCAATTGTCCTGCCATATGTTAGCCCTAATGTTATTGGCTTTGATTAAACCATTCTAATGGGGGAGATTCAATTGTGTTCATTCAAACTGATGTAATTGGCTCTTTTATGTTGCTTGCTTTTTGCTATCAATTCACAGAACCAAAGGCCACTAAACTCCTTTTCAGTCTATGTTCAGCTTTTTATTTCGTTTATCAATCTTTTTTCTGTCTGTGGCCCCAATATGACCTCTATTCCTTCCTGTTACCTTTCCTCCTGTCCTAGCATTTTACTCCCTAATCTCACACTATGACCCCCACTTCCATGATTTTTATGTATACATGAAATGTTTCACTGCGGGCCTGTTGAATAATCCTGGAACATATGTCTCCTGGTTGAGAATACTCATTTAAATCACATACAAATGGAGGGAATACATGGAAAACTCTTCTTCTATACCTCCGTAGCCTTGAGTATTTATAACTCAGTGCTGTTTATTAATAACATTAATGGTATAACAGTAGATGGCTGTGACCTTCTAGGTTAAAAAAATGAAAACAAATAAAAATGTATAAATGAATTTGTCATCAGAAGTTGAAAGTAGGATTATGGAAGAATGATAATTTTTTACTAATGAACATGGTGAGTCCTAGTTCATGAGTCACAAATAAAAAGTGGTTAGAAAAGAACTTTAGGAAGATAAATACTAAGGAGAGTACAAATCTCATGAAGGAATAACTCTTGAAATATAGCCTTGTCCAGATCAGACGGTAGTTTATTTCACATGTCTGCATGACATTGTCTCATGGCACCCTCACCTCACAAATATTGCTGTATTAATTGATTTATAAGAGTGCTATTCTTTTTATGTAATCCTCTAACAATCTCAGAAGGAAGATAAGTTTTTTTAATCAACTTTTACAAATGGGAAAGTAGAAGTTCTGACAGGGTGAAGGCCCTTCTTATGAATAGGACCCCTGTTTCTCTAGCTTTTTCCAGGAATGGAACCCAATGCTATAGCATGGGCAAATGGTAGAGAGTCAATAAATTAGCATCATGCAAAAATATAGAAGTCTTGCCTGAGGATTTTAGAATTCAGAGGCAGGAATTCAGAAAGAGGTAATCTGTCTCAAGACTGATAATTTGTCTTAAAGTAGACCATTCACTTTTACCTTTTAAAATGAAGCCAATTCATCATTTGTTATATAATGCATACTGAGCATTGACAACAGAGTAGGATTGGAAAGAATACCTGCTTCAACTTAATTATGAAGAGAGTTAACAGCTCTGCTTTCAGTGATGGAAACAATTACCTTCTGTGACTAGACAGAGTGAAAAACACTTTTATTCTCTTTTGGGTCATTCTTTGTACTGCCTGCCAAGATGCTGCTTTACTTAATATATATTTACTACAGCCTCTGAAGATATCATATTTTATCAGAGCTCCCTGTTTTCACGTAGAATGAATTAGACTGACAAAGTACTTAATGTCATGTTCTCTGCTTCTTTTTTTTGTTCACTTCCAGGTGAAACTGGGTGAAGATGCACCGAACTCCAGTGTGGTACATGTCTCCAGTTCTGAAGGTGACAGTAGTAGAAATGGTGCCCACGAGAAGTCGGTTGATGGAGCTGAGTGCCACCTTCTTGACTTTGCCAGCCCTGAGCGCCCACTGGTGGTTAACTTTGGATCGGCCACTTGACCTCCTTTTACAAGCCAGCTGCCAGCCTTCAGCAAACTGGTGGAAGAGTTCTCCTCAGTGGCTGACTTCCTGCTGGTCTACATTGACGAGGCTCATCCTTCAGATGGCTGGGCAGTGCCTAGGGATTCTTCTTTGTCTTTTGAGGTGAAGAAGCACCGGAGTCAAGAAGACAGATGTGCAGCAGCCCACCAGCTTCTGGAGCGTTTCTCCTTGCCGCCCCAGTGCCGAGTTGTGGCTGACCGCATGGACAACAACGCCAATGTAGCTTACGGTGTAGCCTTTGAACGTGTGTGCATTGTGCAAAGACAAAAAATTGCTTATCTGGGAGGAAAGGGTCCCTTTTGCTACAATCTTCAAGAAGTCCGGGATTGGCTGGAGAAGAATTTCAGCAAGAGATGAAATCTAGTTTAGTTGATACAAGGTATAACTGTCATAGAATTTTATTTTAATTATAAAAAGGAAAGAAAGCTAAGAACTGAATCCACTATTTCAACTCAGTCCCAACGCCTCACAGAAAGACAGGAATGTATATGCCAGAAGAACATGAACCTCTAACATCTCAACACTTCTTTCACCATCCAAATGCCAGTTGGCTTAGCAGCTTGATCACGTCTTTTTTCTAGTGAGAAGTCCTGAGGGAACAGATCCTAAGGTGAAGAAGAAGAAATCAGAATGCGTGTTTATCTGCCTTGAGAAAGAAGTGATCCAGCTGAAGTGTACTTTGGGACATGAAGAAAAGACTGATTTTCCTGAATCATTACTGTGTTAGGGAAACCTCTGTCTATGTGAATACGTGGGATATTGCCTTAGCATTCCTCAGCCTGGACAGAGTCCAACTGGAAAAATCACCCAATGCTTAATTATAATGAGTCTTACATCCTGGCCAAGTGGTTAGGAACTTGGTGTTTAATGTGTGAGAAGTAGCTTCTGATGTTCAAGTTTCTGAGTATATAGTACTGTATACCAGTCTGAATGTTCCAGAATTCACAGTATCTTTGACGATACCAAGAACGATTTCTTATCCTGAGTGTTAGAGTGATCATTGAAGTCTAAGGATAGCTTTCTAGTCAGGTAGGGAAAACATTAAAAAAATGTCAAATTGAAAATCTAGGAAAAATGAGGCAAACAGGGTAGGAGACATCTTTGGATTCTACTTTGAGCATTGGACTTATAAGTTACACATAGACACATGGGAACATACTCAAGAAGAAGAAGAGGCTTGACTAAAGTAGCATAAAGAATAAGTAGAAAAATAATATGCTTATGACCTAGTCTTCAATTGAGGGAGAAAGAGTGATTTAAATGGAAAAGCACACTTCAATTCTTGAGAAAGTGTGTGTGTGTGTGTGTGTGTGTGTGTGTGTGTGTGTGTGTGTGAGAGATAGTGATAATTATTCTTTGGAACATACTTGTGGTGTGTATGTTTTCACCTAGTGAATTATACTCCATAATAACTAAGGTAAAAACCAGTGGGGTCAGTGGTGCTGATCTATCCGTCTCCATTCCTATATTGAGAATGTGGCCCCACTCAGTCTCATCTCTCTCTCTCTGTATATGTTATATAGAATTTACTCTTCAGCTCAACAGTACACATTCTCAGCTGCTGTTGGTAGGTTCTCTGGTCATTCAAATTAGCAGTTTCCCTCCCAAAGTAGGTGAACTGTAATGAATACTAGGTGTAAACAAGGTTTTCTTTAGTTTTCAAATGGAGTAAGAGGAAGTTAGTTGAGAGAAATTCCCATCAGTGAATTTTGGAGATTTTTACTATAAGGTGACCCTCAGTAGCAAGGAATTTACATTCCCATTTACATCTGAATTTGGACTTGGGTCTCCCTTTGTTCTTAGCTTAACTAGCAATTCTAGGCTTTGATAGATTATTATTATAATGCTATTTTAATGTATATACCGTATTTTGTTCTAAAATAGAGAATATAGTTTTATCTATAAGTTATATAAAGTAATATCTAGGTATCATCCCCTCTCCAAAGAATAGACAAACTGATTTTGTACCATAAATTTTATATTGTAAATTTAAGGATGTTATCAAATTATAGTGTGTGGTTGTATTTATAGATACAATCAAGTGTTCTTATGACATTCCTTTTATAATTGAACATAAAATTAACAGAAGAAAATCTAAACTTGAAAAATCTAAGTATGAAAATATATTCCTGAACTAGAGACCTAAAGTGAAGAAGAAGTGGAAAATGAGTGAGAACTAAAAACCCATTTTTCGAACTGTTGTAGACACCCTATCAGTATCTTACAGTTTAATAAATGTCATTTTAACTAATCAACAGTCAAATATCTAAGCTTTCTAGAGTTTTAAATTTTATAAATACACCTACAAAAAACAAACAAGTAAATGTGTAAATGTAACCTATGTAACCTGATCTAATGAATTCTGGAAAATCATATTAGGAAGAGATTATTTCAGAATCCTTAATTCTTAAACTCTACAGTCAAGGCTTATCAGCGACCCATTGATATATATCTACAGAAATGTGTTGAGATTTAGGTAGTGCCTAGAGAGGTAAAATAAAAAATTTGTTGCTGCTTACTCACACTGTAGTCCTTAAATTTCCCATTTGGTCTACATGTACAAAAATGAAACAGAATGTTCGAGAAGTTGGTGGGGGGATGAGATATATGTAATGCTGTGCTAGTTGACTGGGGTATAAGATGCTGGAAAAATCACCCTGTTGTGATTAGTTTTTACAGAAAGTGATCTTGTGTATGTGAAGTTTCTTTCCTTGAAGAAAATTCACTGGGGAAGTGAAGTAGCATACATAAGCAAACAAAGGCATAGGCTGAATATCAGGGATAAAAGATATGTTCATTAGAACATAGAAAAGCTACTGGGAGAGAGAGACTGTTAAAGTGTCAATGGAGAAGTGAATTGACAAAGCTCAGGAATCTTACAATATGTAGAATGGCTTGGTATTATTAGATAAATCCTGATAAATCTGTAATTAAATAACTTATTTATCGCAACATAAACTTTTATGGTTTCTTGTGATGTATCTTTCATAAACTTAACAAAAACTCATTTTTTAGATAGAGGAGAACTAATGTTTGACTGATATGCTCAAAGGAATTGTAAGATTATTAATACCCCTCCCATCAACCCTATCTATTATAAGGTATGTTCCTTTGAAGTAGTGTAGTTCAGATATGCTCAAAGTTATGTAGACATATGTATACACAAATATGTATTTGTCTACATAAGTTTGAGTTACTAGTTAAAGGTTACCTGTCCCCCTTTCCGTAGGCTGTGTTTACATAGAGCAATCAGTTTAGCCTTTTAAAAATGGAATTGGCTTGCTTACTGAAATAGTTTCCAAGCAATTTTAGATATTATCATAGCATCTGGATTTACTAAAGCATTGAGTGTTTGAAAGACTTATACCTTGGAACTATTTAAAAACTTACTTAATTTTATTGACTAGAGAAAATGTTAGTAGATTCAACAATGAGTTTCTTGAATGGGCATGAATGAAATGCCTGCACAGTTATGTCTAAGTGGATGACACAGATATTAAAATGTAAATGATCTCCTTGTCTGAAAATTAGTAACTCTGTCCTTAGTGTAGCTAAAGTGACAGTCATGTAATATGACTTTTTTGTATTCATGTTTCAGATATCTGGTTCATTGTCCTCAACATGTTTATAGAATGTGCTCCTGATTTTAGGTAATATCAACTTCTAATATTAACTGAATCAGTAGGACTACTAATTCAGTTAAGTTCTCCTCCTCCTTCGCCAGAAAATCCTTATTCCTTCCATCAAAGAAATGGGAAAAGTATGCTGTCTTTTATTTTGATTGAAACACACATTTCACTATATGTGATCCTGAATAAAAATTATGTAGACATTAGAAGGTTATGTGCGGTGCTACCTTGCTTCACAAAATATCAATGGCGGGTTAAAGTCAATATTTATGCCTTTGGGAACTTTCCCATCTGGATATAAAGTACCTTCATTATGCCTTATGGGCTAAGTCCATGGAAGATAATTGTACGGATTAGGGAGTCTCCATTTTATAAATTGTATGACGGTAAACTTGGGCATTTATTCCATCTTACCTCTGACTGTTTGGAAAATAAGCATCTTCAGAGTCATATGGTCGTTATAAAAAATAGAGACACAACTGTACATCCCATTGAAGGATTTAAAGCCTTTGCGTAAAACCTTTATTACCATTTCAAGTTGTTAAGTGTTCTGTCTCTCAATAGTGGAACTGGATTGTGAGACTTTGAATTATAGGAGAGTTTTAATTTTAAAAAATTAAACATTGAAACTTTTAATATTTTTACAACAAACATGGTATTGCCAAAAACCAGAGCTAAAGTAGTTATAGTAACAGGTTAGCCTTCTCTCTACTCCTTTTCTGTCTTAAAAAATAGAAACCAGACCCATATAGAAGTCTTCATATATCTTTCCATATTGAGGTACAAGTACCACCACCCTCTTGGTGATCAGCACTCTCTTGGAAAGTTCTGTGGTCCTCCATGTAAGAAGAGGATAGGGCCTGGAAGAATGAGGAAATTGCTAATTGGAAAGCAGTAGGCCTTGGCAAGATAGACTTGAAAAGAAACTTCTCTTCTCCCCATTGGAGGAGGGCTGCTAAGTATCACTGAGTCACTAACAGATGAGCCAACTGAGCCAATTCCAAAGCCTGGCATTCTGTATGGCACCAGAAACAGTCTCAGACTTAAGGGAACCAGCTCTGTTCCAAGGTGTGTCTCCCAACAGAATGCAAACATGTAGATATATTCAAGCAAGACTGCTCACACAAGCTGGAACTTGCTGCCTGTCTTGGGCAGCAGCATCAGAAGTCTAGTGAGTTTATTTGCTATTTACTAGGGAGTCTTCGGAAATTTAGGTGTTTAATGAAGTCACTATTTAGGCATGACACTCCCAATTGCCCCTTCTCTCCCCTCCCTCAAAAAACAGTTACATGCATAAATGAGAGAAGCCCACAGAAGAGGGATAGGACATATGTAAAATTCTCCCTAAACTTCTCTCTAGACCACATCCCTTGTTGGGATGGTTTTTATGTGTGTCAGGATTGGAGAATGTGAAGACTTAAGTATCCAGTACTTTATAACCAAAGCAATAGAAGGATGGTTAGGGAATGTTGGCCAGTTTTGTTGAGTTCTGCATCACATTGTTACCAGACTCTTATACTAGCCCAGGTAATCGGGCACCCCGAAGAAGGAGACTGGGATGTGCAGAGGTTACCAGTGTGCAAATGATAACTATTAACGAAAGAGTCATCGACTCAGTTAGTGGTTGGATGTAGTCACATTAGTATACCTCTGCCTATCTTTATCTCCTTGGCAAGGAGAATATTCGGGGTTCAATGCTTTGAGTACTGGGTAAATGTGAGAACGCATGGGTGTGTATCTCTGCTGCTCAGTTGAGAAACAGGAATGTTTTGAAGATTGTTAGTAGAAAGAGTGTTATTATATTGGTGCTGAGTGGTACGTGTGCTTTTACAATTTGTTCTTGTATTTTAATAAACTTTGAATAAAAGAATAAAGTTACCCTTTGGTTCTATTTGTTTATTTTTAAATTACTCTCTAGACCTTGCCCTGACTGGAACACATTCATGGTTGACAAGGGAAAGAGAATCCATCATTCTAATATTTATTCCTTGGTATTTGTGGGCAAAGTCACCAGCAATGCCAGGTTATTTTAATTTCATGCTGTGTGCCAGAGTCTTCAAGGAAATCAAGACAAGTTAAAAGAAAATCTTCAGATACTTTCCATATTCATGAACAAATCACTCACAGAATTCATGGAAAGGAGCCTGTTAAAGAAACTGTGCTACAAACTTTTACTTTGTTATATTTGCACCTCAGATTTTCATAAGTGCAGTAAACATACTTTCCAGGAAGTCAGCTAAAGCAATACAGATACATGCACTGTATGTTGTGTGTATATTGTATGCATATATGTGTGTAGGTGTATAGATCTTCTTCAACTTACAATTGGATACTATCCGAACGAGTCCACTGTAAATTGAAGACAGCATTAAGTAAAAAATACTCTTAATATATCTAGCCTACCCAACACTGTCTCTTAACCCTTAACTATGAAATATACTCTTTTGTGTTATTGTAAAGTCAAAATATAAATTGAATCATTAACTTGGAAACCTAATAATGATTATACGACATGACATTACTGTGGAATGAAAAAGTCTAAATTTATACCAAGCACTTTGCAAAACAAGGAACAATATAAAGAATTTGAAGCTGTGACCTATTAATGTCAAGGAATGTCTTTACAACTTGGTTGAAATATATTTTGTTCTTACAAGCAGGTGATTTTACAAAAATATTGTTATTCTTTGAGGCTCTGG